GCACAGGACAGCACATCTGGCACAGGACAGCACAGCTGGCACAGCACAGAAGGGCCACCTGAGAGGCTCAGCCCCAATGGGCAGGCAGAGGGGTCAGTCATGTCTGGTTTGTACAGCTGAGCCCCAAAGCCACTCAGGCAGTTCCCAGCCAGGACAGCCACCCTGCAGCTCTCCTTTCACAGACCCATGAGCTGCCCATGCTGCCCACACTCAGCACCCTGGGTGCTGCCTGAGTCACCATTCCAGGTCTGCCAGGGCTTGGTGCCCAGTTCCAGGAGCTGGACTTTAAACTTTTCCCATCCTGTGTCTGCAGGCACGGTTTTGAACTGATGAGATGCATTCTTCAGCTGTGGAATGTCACCGGGTTCCAGCTGTGTGACACACATCTGAGGCACAACCATCCGGAGCCAGTGACAGGCAACTGAAAATCGCTGACACTTCAGGGAGTTTAAAAAGCCTTCCTGATGAGCCAAGAATTAGTTTTGCCAGTGGCAACACTGCTGGATAGTTTGCCTTGCTCACATATGCTCACTTCAATAATTAGTCTTTTTTTCTTTTTGCTGCACATCTTGTTTTTCCCCAAGTGCAACCTACTTGTCACTTTGAAGTTAATTACTAATTAGCACCATATAGGACAGCAGAAAGGACCACGGGAAGCTTCTCCAAACCTATACAATTATCTACATCCACGGTTTTGCTTATTACCAAACTTCTGCCTGCTCAAATGACAGGGACACTAATGTTTTGGAAGTCCACAGATGTGTTCCTAAACCACAGGATCCTTTCCCCCAGCTGTACAACCATACACATAAGTGTCACTTATAAATATTTGAAGAATGTTAAATAATGAACTGTTATTCATTATTATATAATATAGATGTTATATTATGCATTCCAGTTCCTTACAGTCACACTGCTCTGTTCATCAAGGCCTTCTCTGATGCCCTGGGTCCCCCTACAGCCCCAGAGGGGCTCCCAGGGAATCTCTGCAAAGGCAAATCCGTGCATCCCTCTCTGTCTTTGCTCACCTGGAACCCTGGAGTTGCCGCCCAGGTGTGGCCACGCCCGCAGCCCCGGGCATGAGCTTTGGAGGGGCACCTGCACAAGGCAGCTTTAGTGGCACAAACACTCAGCCCAACATCAGTCAGCCCGCTGGCAAGCACAGACTGACACTGAAGCTCAGGCCCTGCTGCGCTGCCAGGGGTTATTCCTACAGCTACTGGCACGAATTGAAGGAGCTGCACAGACTGGTACAGGTGTTTAATAGAGCTGAGTGAACATGCAGGTGTGGTATGGACACAGAAAACACAACCCTCTGAGACAGTCCTCTGCACCCAGTGTGACTGAACCTACAAATGCAACATCTCTAGTACAGGAACATCTCTAGGAGCAAACACACAGCAACCACTTGATCACATTTGAGTCTCCAGCTCCAGGTAGATTGATCTGAAGTGACTCACAGCACCAATCCACTCAAAGTCCTGCTCAAGAAAAACAAGCCAGACAGCTGTGGAACCATCCTTGTGATTTCATCCTTCCAAAGGAGGGCTGTCTCCCGGGCTGGCAAACACCAGCTTGTTTCAGTTCTGCTGAGGAGCTGCTCCAGTGAGACGTGACAGGAGGTTGTGTAAACACAGAGGAACAGAGGAGTGACATCCCAGCACACAAACCCACAGCCAGCTGAGTGCATGTTGCAGGACACAACACTGAGGAGCTGCAGACAAAGCTCAGAGCAGAATTTCCCCTCCATCCTGAGGCTGTTCTGAGGACATGATGAGTAGATCCTTGTAGATGTCACAGCAGTTCCTCGGTAGCTCCGAGCTCAGCACGTTTTCTGCGATGTTTGGTCATTGTTTTGTAGCATGGTGCAAACCCAGACCGAGGAACTGCTGTGACATCTACAAGGAAAGGCCAGAGCAGCAGGGAAGTCGAGTGCTCCCAGGGCTCACCCAGTGCCACCAGAACTGCGACATGCTTAGCAGGGGGAGCTGCTCTGCCCGCCCGGAAGGGCTGCGAGAATTAATGCCACAGCAAAGGGATTAATTTGCACGGGATTTTGGGAACAGGAAACAACGCAGGAGCCGCCACCCAAAAGGATTTATCATCCGTCAGCAGACATTTAAGGAGCGGGTAAGGAACGGGTCGGGGAGGTGCATCCCGTGTCTCGGGCAGGAGCCAGCCCGGGACAGTGCCTGCCCCACGCAGGACTCACCTGCCGGGCACTGAGGCTGCCAGGACACCTGGGCTCCCTCCGAGGGCACTGTCCTTCCTCTGCTGCCCCTCGGCCTCCCCTCCTGCCGGCCCCATCTGCTCCTCCTGCCGCCCGTCCGTGCCCCGCGCTGTGCCTGGCTCTGGAGCTGCTCTTTGTGGCTCGGTGCCCGGGCACAGCCGCTCGCCCCCCGGGGACCCTCTGCCCCCGGCTTCCACTGCCCCATCCCCACGGCCAGGGCTGCTCGGGGAGGTTCCTGCGCTCGGCTCTTCCCCCAGGGATGCTGTTCCGGGCCCCTCTCCGTGCCGTGGGGACCCGAGCTGCTCCCCTGTCCCTGTCCCGCTCCGTACCCCCAGCACCGCCCCTGTCACCCCCTCCTGTGGCACCGCCCCTGTGTCCAGCCCGCCGGCCGCGGCCACTGCCGATTCCACGGCCACTGCCGGCCCCACGGCCACTGCCGGCCCCACGGCCACTGCCGATTCCACGGCCACTGCCGGCCCCACGGCCACTGCCGATTCCACGGCCACTGCCGGCCCCCCGACCATTGCCGGCCCCACGGCCACTGTCGACTCCACGGCCATTGCCGATTCCACGACCACTGCCGGCTCCACGGCCACTGCCAGTGCTCCTCGCCCGGGCTGCCCGCCCAGCACAGCGATGGCCACCAGCCCTGGCTCCCGTGCCCGGGTCCCGCACAGCCCCGGCTGCCCGGGACACGTCTCCTGCCCTGTCCTTTTTGCCCACCTCGACCACCCCTGTGTCCCCGCTGCCGGCTCCTCTGAACCTGCTGCTCTATCTGTGCCCTCCTCCTCCTCCTCCTCTCCCGAGCCCGCTCCTGCCGCCCCTGCAGACCCTCCCACCACCTCCCCTCCGGGATTTCCTTCCACTGCTCTCTGTGTCTCTGCTTTGCTGCCCTCAGACTTTGGGTTTCCACTCCGAAGTGTTTCTGCTGCACCCTCTTCCTCCTCCTCCTCCTCCTCCTCCTGCTCTGCCGGCGTCTTCTCCGCCTGTGATGCCCCCTCGGTGCCAGGATCCCCCCGAGCATCCCCCGGTGTCCCTAGCCCAGGTGCCACTTCCAGTACAGGACCCTTGGCAGGCTCCACGGACTCTCCCACCGTGTGCTCCGCTCTCTGGAGCGCGCTCCCTCCCACCTCCCGGGCCTGAGCACCCTCAGGTGCTGCTGCTCCAGCTTTCTCCACCTCCATCCACTCCTCCCCTGACGCTTTCAGCTGGGAAAACTCACTCGGCTTTACAAACCCTTCCTCTCCAGGCATTGCCTCTCCTGTTTCCATATCCTCTAGTGCTTCCCAGAGAGCCCCAGGCTTCCCCACAGCCTCCCCCCCTTCAGAAATGTCTTCTTCAACAGCCTCTTCTCCTTCAGGGCCGACAGCTCTGGCAATCCCACCTGCTGCCATGTCAGCGTGTTCCACAGCCTCCTCTCCCTGTGACACAGCACCCACCACGGTGTCCTCCCCTGCCTGCCCTAGGGACTGCCCTGCCTCACCCACCTGCTCCTCTGCTCCTGTGCGCTCTTCCTCTGCAGCCTCCTCCTCCTCAGTGATGCCCCCGGCCCCCTCCTGCCCCTGGGGCACGGCTCTGTCTGCCTCCCATGCTGGCAGTGCTCCAGCTGGCCCCTCTCCCCCAGCTGCTGGCCCCTCTCCCCCAGCTGCTGGCCCCTCTCCCCGAGCTGCTGGCCCCTCTCCCCGAGCTGCTGGCTCTCCCAGTGCCGCCTCTCTCTCCATCCCCTCCACCGTCACCTCCTGCTGCCCAGGTGACACCGCGGTTCCCACCCTCCCTGGCTCCCCTGTTCCCGTTCCTCTGGGGTGTTCCTGTGCCGCGGTGCCGTCCCCAGGTGCGGGTTCCTCCAGCGAGTCCCCGGCCCCTGCAGTTTCTCGTCCGGGCTCAGCAGCCGCGTCCTGCCCCAGGGCTGCTCCCTGCCCTTCTCGGGCTGCTCGTCCCTCCTGCACAGCACGGCTTCTCCTCCCTTCCGCCAACGAACTTCCACCTGGGGCTACGGGAAATAACCAAACATTGCTTTACTCAGCACCATGCCGGAGTTCCGTGCTCCACAGGGTTAGCTGGGGCTAAAGGTGCCACTTCTGCCTGGCAGCGAGGGACATCAGCCTGGGCAGCCAAAGAGAACTTGCTGTGCTGCTTCTCATCACACCCCTGGGCTCTGACCAGGTCTTTAGTGCTGCTGTTCTGGCAGCTGGCAGAAAGAATTTAAGTCAAAATGTTGATGCAAGGCCACTCATGCCTGTTCTGCCTGCTGTGTGTGTGTACAACACCTGGAAGCTTGACAGTGGCACTCAGAAAGCCAGAAATAGCTGAAAAATTGCTCATGTGAAATATGCACACAAAGAAAGAACATTCAGCTTCCTGTGGATTCTGTAATTACACCAGGGAATAACACAGGGCTGATTCCTGCCCCTGGGAATCAGAGCATTTCCCAAGGAGGCTGCACTACCTGGAAGCACGTACAACCTCACTACATTCCTGCCTTCCACAGCTATTTTCCTGACTCACAGTTTTTTCAGGGCCTGGATTCCTCTCCTAGAACCATTTAACTGCCAAAAAAGCATTAATTATACATGACTGCAGATGCCAGCTAGTCATCACCCGATTTTTTACAAGTTAGGGAAGAAAAAAAGCACAAGGAGATTTTGACAGCCAAAGGAAAGGGAAAGGGCAAACACTTCTGTTAAAAGACTTCAGGTGAGTAATTTAATCCTTGTCCCTGACTGACAGCCAATCTCACCTCCACTGGCACCACGCTCTGTATTTGCTGCGTTCTTTTCTTCCTCATTGACACACGAATCACCAGGTTCAGGGTCAGAATTCGCAGCATGATCATTTCCACTTGCTTTTGCTATTTCCTCCTGGACTGGTTTGCAGTCTTCAAAAGCTATCACAAAGAAAACAGGAAGCAAGAAAGAGAAACCATTAAAGAGCAAAATGGGAGTAGAAGCCATCCAAACATCTCAGCTTTCAAATGGTTTAAAATTCATTTTTGGATAAATCCTTACACTGGCAGAGAAACACTGAGGCAGTGCAGTGTTCTGGGTGGATGCTGAGCTCACAGCAGCCCCAGCAGCTCCCGTTGGTGCTGCACCACTCAGGAGCACAAAGGCAAACACAGCAGCTCAGGCGTGCAGAGGGACTGCACTCACCTCCTTCCTCACCAGGACACTCCTCACTGCCATCCTCCCTGTTCAATACCCTGCTTCCCCAAGACACTGGAGCACATTTCTCCTCCTCATTCATGTCACTTTCTCCTGACCCAGTCTGTTTGAATTCCACATTAACCTCAGGATTTTGATGCTGCATTGCCATTATGTTTTCATGAGAAATTATAGTATCTTCCCTTGCTGTTAGATCTTCTGGTTTTGTCTTTTCTTCTTCATCTATTCCTTTCTTTTCCAGTGCAGAAGTCTCCTGATTTTCCTCCATTCTGAGCAGTTTCTTCTCCCCATTCTCGTTTCCACAGTGTTCACGTGCTGCACTTTCAGGTGTACTTTTGCAATTGCAGTCCTCTTTGCCATTCACATCGTCTGTCATCATTTCAGCATGAGAGTCAGTCTCAGTGCTGCACTGAGTGCCCATGGACGAGAGAGAGTCTGCAGGCTTCCTCTCTGAAAACAGCAAACTTAAATTTAGTATTTGTCACTAAACCTCTGCATTCACTGGGCACTCACAAAGGGACACAATCCCATCCAACAGCATTCTCTGAATTTCACCACCTGAGGATATTGGGACAAAATTCCAGTAAGTGTAAATAGAAGAACATTGCCCAGATGTTTAACATGGAGGGTTTTTTCTGATAATGGAAATAAACCAGAGTAGTTCTATCAATCACACAGAAATGCACCTCCAAATACAGCTCAGACAGGGTTTAGAACACACTCTTGAGCTTCATTTGATAAAAGACTTCAACCACGACAACAATCCCTCAGTGCCCTTCTGTTAACTCATCGAATATTAGAAAGATCTCCAAAACCGTGTGTAAACCCTTCAGGTTGAACTGGAGATGAAGTTCACTGTCTCCTCTAAAGATACATACAGACATCATCCTACTAAATTCATAAATGGAAAATTTGAGGGGGAAAAGATAGTAATCCTTTATCTAGCAGTGGGCTGAGCAGCAGAGCTGGCTCCTGCACAGCCTTGCTGCTGTCCACAACCTACATGGGCTCAAGAGGAGATTGGTCTAACTCAAGGCTGAAAAATCCAGTCAGACTGAGCAAATAAAAGTGTCAGAACTATAATCCATGCAGAAGTGCATGTTCTTAAAAACGTGTTGCACCAAGAAACTTTACAGCCCCAGTTTCAAGATTCCCACTCAGAGTGCTACTCCTCCATCCCAGGAAAACCCAAGCAGGTTCCTCTACAGACAGAATGAGAGAATCACAGAATAACCGGAGCTGGAAGGGACCCACAAGCATCATCAAGTCCAACTGCCAGCCCTGCACAGCACCCTCTTCCTTCCCTTCAGACCATCTAACTATTTCTACATGTCTGGCACAGCCCAATGAATTAGGGTCATATTCAGGGCCATTAAAGACAGCAGTTTTAAAACCCAGGGTGGCCTGTCAGGTTTCCTGGGAGCCCTCAGGTGTGGGGGTCACAGATTCCCGTGTGTGAGTATTCCCCACTCACACTCCCGTGTGTGAGTGCCTGCTGCTGTGCAGGGCTGTGCTCCGTGTACCTGTGCAGGGCTGTGCTCCGTGTACCTGTGCAGGGCTGTGCTCCGTGTACCTGTGCAGGGCTGTTCTCTCTGTGTTCCCTGTGCTCCCCGCTGTTGTGCAGGGCTGTTCTCTCTGTTCTCTCTGTGTTCCCTGTGCTCCCCGCTGTTGTGCAGGGCTGTGCCGTGTTCCCTGTTCTCTCTGTGCTCCGTGTACCTGTGCAGGGCTGTTCTCTCTGCTCTCTGTTCTCTCTGTGCTCCCCGCTGTTGTGCAGGGCTGTGCCGTGTTCCCTGTTCTCTCTGTTCTCTCTGTACCTGTGCAGGGCTGTTCTCTCTGTGCTCTCTGTTCTCTCTGTGCTCCCCGCTGTTGTGCAGGGCTGTGCTGCCAGGCTCTCAGAGCCAGCTCTGCCTGCCTCCAGCTCCATCTCGGCACACAAACAGCTCAGCCAAGGCCCACGCTCTGCCTCTGGGGCAGAATTCATGGCAGATTAAACAGCTCTCTTTTACCTTTCAGTAGGAAGGGCAGAGGTTTCCCTGTGCAGACTCAACATCCACACTGGGCACGCACAAACTGTAAAATGTGCATCAGGTCAGCTTCTCCAAGCCTTGTTAGGAACTCACAGAGTTCCACAATGTTCTACAAAACTAACCTTGTAGATCATCTTCAGAGTCCCTGTCATCAGAATATCCATCGCTTTCGTTTTTCTCCCTGTCAGAGGCCCCCAGTGCCTTCTGGGATGAGGTTGCACTCTCCTTTCCATAGTCTAATTTACGGTTTTTATCATCTGACATTCCATTCATTTGATCACCAGTCTGTCCCTCTTCATTAACTTCTTCATATGCTTCAAAATCTTCCTCATATTCTAAAATAGAAGAATTGTACTGTGAGACAGGAAACAGAATTCACAATTAATAAAGTTCTTTTTAAGAAAATAGAAGTTAATGTCATTAATCTCCTTTTGCTCTTGAATTTGCTCAGTCTTTCTAAAGGCAGGAGAGAATCTAAGACCACAGACAGGAACTGTAAGGGCATACTATCATAGGAAAGCACTGTGTTCTTCATAGAGTAGCAAAAATGCAGCGAAACTAAGATTAATACATTAAAACAAAAATAAACAAAATTACCAGCCATGGAAAGTACTAGAAAAACTTAGAGCTGGGCAAACTCAGAAATTAAATGTAAGAATCTCTTATTACAGGAGAAAAACTAGTTATGATGAAAACAAAATTACAAGCAATTGAGAAAGCTGGAAATACATTGTAGTGCAAAGTACGAGAAACGTGTATTGACATGGCTAAAAGGAAAGAAGTGTCCTATAAGCTCAGTGAATTTAATGAAGTGCAGCAAAGGGCACTGCAGGGCACGCTGCTCGAACTGCTCCTCCAGGGAGAGCCCAGCACAAACAAAACCTGCACAGAATTACATCCACTCCTGTCTCCACATTCCGGATTTCAGCCAGGCACTGTCCTGGCCAGCTGGGAGGGATCCACAGCAGCCTGGAGTGCAGCTCCTGGCCCTTCTCAGCGTTTGCTCTGCAGGTGAGGAGCCTCCTCCTGCAGGGGCATTAAAGACTCACCTTCCCAAACTTCCCCTTCCCAACTGTGCCCTGCACATCCAGGCACAGCACAGGGCGGGCAGTGAGCCCACCTACAGCCCAGACTGTCCCTGCTGCAGCACACAGGGAACACACCTGCAGCACACCTGGAGCACACAGAGAACACACCTGCAGCACACAGGGCACACACCTGCAGCAGGTAGGGAACACACCTGCAGCACACAGGGAGCACACAGGGAACACACCTGCAGCAGGTAGGGAACACACCTGCAGCACACCTGCAGCACACAGGGCACACACCTGCAGCAGGTAGGGAACACACCTGCAGCACACAGGGAGCACACAGGGAACACACCTGCAGCACACAGGGAGCACACCTGCAGCAGGCTGGCGAGCTGGCACTGCTGCCACACCTGCTCTGTCCCCTGTGGCCATCATCCCTCCCCTCACAGATTTCATTGCTGCCCCCCTTTCCCTCCATCAGGCTTTGAACAGACTGAAGTGACAGAACACCAAGGACAGAAATGAAGAGTTCCTGATGCAGAACCAGTTAGGCAAACAAACAATTAGCAAGACAATGAGAACTAAGGGAATATGGAGATTTATTTTTCTGTGTTAAAAATCAGTTGCAGTGTGGGCAGTGAGGTCTCCTTAGGTAACTGTCAGAAGGGCAGTTCCTCCTGAAGGAAAAAGGCTTCATTAATCCCAAACACACATCTGGAGGGACTAATAAATGTCAGGTGAGTAGTAACGGTGCAGAACTGTGAAAGCAAAAATAGGAAGTAGGAATTAAAATCTCTCTGTAAGCGTGATTGCCTCAAAAGAAGACTGTAATAAGGAGTAAGCAAAGGCAGAGACTGAGCTCGACACCTCTTGCAGAGCTGAGTGCACCTTCCACTATCCCAGGCTGCTCCAAGCCCCTGTACCTTGGAGCTGAACACTGCCAGGGATGGGGCAGGCCCAGCTGCTCTGGGGAGCCCGTGCATGGCCTCACCAGCCTCCTTGGCTCCCACCAGCCACCTCATCCTGCTGCATGGCCGAGAGGAGCCCTTCACATTCTGCTGCCCAGACACAGAACCACCACATTTCTCATGCCCCAGCCAAGGCTGGAGGCCCACAGTCCCATACCTTCTCCAGAATCATCCCCTCCCACTTCTCATCCCCTGCTCACGTTTGGGAATACTGTACCTTTTTTACTGGTGTCTTCCTCATTATCTTCGCCCTCCTCACTAGATTGGTTTTCCATTTCTTCTTCGCTGGACTCCTCTTCAGTCTCCAGTGCTTTCTCAACAGTTTCTGTACTTGTTCCACCTCCCCGTACGGTGCCTGATGCTGAATCTTCCCTTGATTTGTGCTCAAAGCTGCTGTCACATGGCTCACATGGCTCACATGGCTCACAGTGCAGAGCACATTCCCAGGGACACAAATACTTCATCCCACAGGACCTAGCCTTCCTCTTGGGAGGGTTCAGCTTTCTGTCCAGACCCATTGCAACAATGCACCTGTAAAATATAAAATTGGGAAGTGTTACACTTTTCTTCCCTTGAACAATGGAGGGCAGCAGACATAGCGAGTTCAGCTTGTTATCAGCAGTGAAACCAAGCACCCAGCTGCCTCTGCACTGCCACAGTGACTCACAAGGAGAAGCACCCTGAAACCCCTGAGAGCCCAGCAGGTGAGCTCCATCGGGGGATGTGCTGGTCCCACGGGTGTCAGAGCCCAGCAGGGGATGTGCTGGTCCCATGGGTGTCAGAGCCCAGCAGGGGATGTGCTGGTCCCATCGGGGGATGTGCCGGTCCCATGGGTGTGAGCCCAGCAGGGGATGTGCCAGTCCCATCGGGGGATGTGCTGGTCCCATGGGTGTGAGCCCAGCAGGGGATGTGCCGGTCCCATCGGGGGATGTGCCGGTCCCACGGGTGTGAGCCCAGCTCCATCCTGCACCTTCCAAGGGGCACGTGGAAACAGCAGAGCTGTGTGCAGCCAGAGAGAGCGAGGACGAGACACAAAGTGCCCAAGCGCAGCCCCCGTGAGCACAGCGCACTCTCCCGTACTTGTAGCAAGGGGGTGCTCCTGCCACATGGAGCATCCTGAAGTAGCTGTTCCTGCGCCGCAGCCGGGGGCACCTCAGGTGTCTGTACTCACAGCAGCTGCTCAGCCTCTCCACTTCTGTCTCGTTGAGAAAAAACGTGAGGCTGAACGGGAAACCGAGGTGCCTCTTGGAGATGAACTGGAAGGTATCTGCAGTCACAGAAAGAAAGGGTTCGAGGAAATATTACACTTTGTGTCAGCCTGCTGCAAGTGCTGTATCTCAACTGCATCACCACAGCAGCCAGCCCCCTGAGGACAGCACTGGGGCTCTCAGGTCTGGTTCAACTCCACCCCTCCTCACACACAGCCCTGGCCCTTGCCAGCCCCAGAATCCTAAGGTGGGACAGCTGGGACAAGTGACAGTCACACGGTCAGTCTGGCCACTCACTGCTACAGCAGGACGAAGGCCAGAGCCTCCCAGCCATTTCCTGTGCCCAGTTTCCCAGAACACAATTCATCTTTTACTGCTGTGATGGAACTGCACTCACATAAAAAGAGATGGGAACTGGGCTCCCATTATGTACTTTTCCTTCTGGAATAGGAAGCGACATTCACTGATTTATTTTAGCAAGTCAGATAACCCCTTTTTAAGGGCAGATTATTGCTACAACTGCTCTATTAACCATATATCTCTATAGAAAATTTACCTAAGCCACGAGTATTTTGTTAAATCAATTCTCTAAATTCTTCTACCATCATTGCAAAAGTAATTGCAACCTCACTTTCAATCATGGGACAGTAGATCCAGATTTAATGTGGAGGCAGATGGTATAAACATCCCTGGATGCAAATATCTTGACCAAGCTGAGCTGAAATCATTCTGACGTCAGGGCAAAGTTTTAGCAAAGAAAGATTTTGGCAGAATCAAAGTGAACTGACTCCATCCTTACCTCCTTCCAGCAGCTCGCCTCTATAGACACAAATGTTCTCTGTTCCACAGTACTGCTGATAGACTTTGATTTCATCCTTGCACACAAGAGACACGTGCTTACTCCTTCCTAGGTAGATCATGGTGACAAAGGCGTTGCTGCACAACGGGGACTTGGGGAACCCTCGAGTATTCTGCAGCAGAAAATGCACAGAAATGCCTTCAGCTTCCAACACGGGGTGAAAACAAAGCTCACATCTGTGCAGCACACACTTGAGACTTCCAGGCTTTAATAACAAGCACTGAGCTGATTAAATTGGGAAGTGTTTGTAACGTGCAGAGGATCTGGGAGATATTTCCAACTGAAAACCCAATGCATTAACAGCCCCAAATTGCAGGGACCAGGTTTCATGACCCATATCATGTCTCCCAGTCCTGGGTTCCTGCAACTTTATTTACAGGAGTTAAAACTGGCTGGAGACAGTGTAACTGATGCAGTGTTCATACACCCAAGGCATTTCCCAAACCCCTGAGATTCTACTGCCAGAGACACGATCAGATTGACTCAAGTGGAAGGCTTTGAATAACAGTTGCTGTAGGTTGTTTGTTCAGCACCTTTTTTTCTCCCCAACTGATGAAAAACACCAAATGTTGTAGTTTACAGAGACATGCATAGCAATTCTATATTTTAATAGTTATACATTTTCTTTATGCACTCTAGGTCCGCACATCTTTCAGCATGAAGCAAACACACCAGGAAGGAAAGCAATACACCTGTAGCTGGGCAGGGAGCCCATATCTATGGACACACTGTTAGAGAGCTAGGAAAATTACAGCCTGCAAAATCATTCTCAGGCTGGAGCTTCTCCTGCTCTCTCAGCTCCATTCCCAAGCTGATAACGTGTCAGCTCTGGGAGATTTTCACCCGGGATAATAATTTGGTCAAAACAGAATAGACTTAATGACATTATATTAACACCTAGTGCAGACCGTGGGACACATCCTGAAGTGCTGTCCCAGAGGCGTTTTCTCAAGTATCCGAGGAGCTGCTGTGTGTCCGAGCTCTGCAGAACACGCTGTAAACACGAGTCGCGCTCTCGGTAAACGCCTTCTCTCCCTAGGCAGGTCTGGGGGTGTTGCTGCCATTGCTCTCTCTCTGTAGCTCAGCAACCACACAAACCCACGCCCTTACCCTGATCAAAACCTGCTCGTTGAAGGCCGTGGTGGGGTGGAAGCGTCTCTCGTTGGGCAGCGCGCTCCCGAGCGCGGGGACGCGCCTGTCCCCCCGGCGCGGGCGGGGCGGCGGCGCCGGGAGCGCGCACGGACAGGTGACAGGGAGCTGGTACGGTGACACGGCCAGGTACTCCACGGAATTCACGATCCTTAACGGGCTCCTCTCCCCCTGGAAAAGCATTTCAGCCGAGTGACGCAGCTCGTGCAAAAGCAGCTCCCGAGCACACGGGATTGGCGTGGTCCGACTCCTTCTGAAACAGCTCCTTAGCTCAGCGCCTGAAATTCTGCTCATTCAGATATTTCTGTGCTAAACCCCTTTCTTTTAACTTGCAAGGCACAGCAAACCTGGCTCCAGCCCCACAGGGCTCTCAGCCCGGACAGAACCTGCCCAGCCCTGAGCTGCCAGGCACAGCCCCGGAGCAGCCAGTCGTCCAACAGAAACATCACTTGCCATCAGTTACACGAGATGGGCTTCAAAACGCGGCTTCCTCCTCTGAATTGAGATTTAGTCCTCTCGCAGAATGAGAAGGACCACGGCCCTCAAGAGTAAGACATCACTAGAGAGCAAGTTCTGTAAAGGCTGCATGCTGTGGCTCTGAGTTCTGCATCACGCTCTCAGAACTTACATCTGATTTGGCTGTTTTGTCAGTTCTGGGCACTAAAGAAACCATTAAATCACCCATAATTGGAGTAGACAGATCACAGTCCCACTCCAAAACCCCCTCACCCCATGGAATGCATATCACAAAACCGATGACGTTACGTTTTTCTGGAACAGAAGTCCAGATATCACCTGAAAGTAACCACCAATATATCAAGACCATGTTTGGTTCTCATTCTCCAAGCCCGCTAATATGATTTAGTTTAAGGAATGATCAAAAAAAAGGAACTTTTTGCTACTTTTCAGCTGTAGATGATGATGAAAACTTGTAGGACTTGCAAGTGAAAATATTCCAAAGTTCCTGGAGTTAACCAGGTGCTGCTCCTCTCTCTACATTAGAGAAAATCTACATAGAGGGAGAATATTTTGTATGCAGCGAGATTTTATACTATGAAAGGTAAGCCACCACATTTTTCCTCACTATGGTCAAGAACTGGGCATTAGACCAGTAAGAGAGTGTCTGGAAAACTGAGGGGAAGTGAAAAAGGACAGTTGAAATAAAATTTGATGCCATTTGAAAGGGATGTTCCCTGTGGTCTACAGTTCTGGAACTGCAGTATTTAACCAGTACAGTGGAACTGTCCCTGAAAGGATGCTGTGTTCAGAATGAAGTACAGCCTCACCCCACGGGCACACTGCTGCTCACGTTCCAGTGCATGGCACTTCTGTTTGGAAGCCTTGGGTGCAGACCCTGCTGCAGCCCAGCCGTGCAGGGGCTGGAGGCGAGGGGGCTGCTGCAAATGTCCTGGAGCTCTGTTTGGTGCCAAGGAACTCTACAAAAGGAAAAAGAAAACAATGACAAAATCTCAGTGTATAGCTTCCAGTGCAGAGCAGAAAAAAAATAGCACTGATGGAGAAATCTGTAAGTGATGAGTGGTTTCAGGTACCTACAGGACATGACATTTTCTAGGCTGTCTCCAAAGAGCCAGACCCCTTTAGGCACCTCTAACTGACCATCCAAAACAACTCCTGGCCACAAATACAAAGTTTGCTGCTGTCCCTTCACTGCCCAGCCTTGGAGCAAACACAATGAACTCACAGAAACTGTAGCAGTGTGCTATGGACTTCAGCATACAGACCCAGAGAGAATGCACAACAAAAATGTACCTATTTTTGTTCAATATTCAGCTTTTTCCAGACTGTTTTATTTCATGTTTTCCTCGCATGCCCTTTAGAATACCAAGTTAAAATGTTTAGCTGAGGTTAACTCACCACCTTAGAGGAGGAAGACTCCTTGCATCGGTGCTGATGAAGACAATGTCCACAGCAACAATCAGCTCCAAGGACAGGTGCCCACTATATGAAGAGAAAGTTGCTCAGGACTCAAAAGTTTCTCTTCTGTGCCAATTATCATTATTGATATAGAGAACCATTTGAAACTGAACTAGATATTTGACCTTTGACTTGAGGCTTTAGTACAGTGTATTTCATGAGTATATTCATATTCCCTCTCTGCTGTTGACAGAGAACAAAAGCCAGAGGTCCTAGACCACATCCCTCTGAAATGAGCTCCAGTCTGATTCCATCCCTTCATCCGTGTTTTCTAAAACACCCGCACCATTTTCAGGGCTTTACAAGAGGTGTAACCTTGTCTATAGCCCCTGTGTCCACTGACAATGCTCAGCACACTGATACCAGCCTGCCGGAGGGCACGAGGCAGCTAAAAGGGAAAAGCAGATTTAGCAGAGAGCAATGGTTTGGGGGTGTTTTCTAGGTTCTGATGTGCCATTCCTGCAACACTAGCTGCTCGAGATTCCTCTTTAGCACAACCCAGCAAGCAGGAAACAGCCTCAAGTGGCTGAGGATGGAGCCCCAGCCCAGAATGCTCCAGGCAGTGAATGCTCTGCACTCAGGTCCACGGGCACATCTCCAGCTCTGTGCTCCCAGGACAGCCCATGCAGGAGCTGATGAAACTCACGCAGTGAGAGCAACCAGCTCGTTCTGCTGCCACCAAAGGGCAGAGCCCGAGATGGTTCCTTGGAGCCAGGGGTGGATGTGGGCAACGCACGCGGATGATTTCTTCCATAGATTCCCTGATTGGCTCCATCTGAAAGAAAAGGAATTTGTGTCTCTGAGGCACTGAATCCAAAAACAGTGATGTCTGTCTCGTTAGGTCTGTCTCTCACTGGACATCTGTGACAATCAGCTGGCCTGGACCCGATGGAACAGCTGGTTAAGGAAGGAAAGGAAATCATGGGAGAATGTGAGGGACAAGCAAAAAGACTCGTCCCCACCTCTGATTCATCTTCCTGCAGCTCTTTCCAGCTGCTGACCCGCCAGATTCAATTCACGTCTGTTTCTTTGTATCTCACACTTCTTGGTTCGTTTGAAGGTCTCTTTCTTTTTGAAATGTTCCTTCCCTGCTGTGGCTGCAGGCTGTCCCCACTCCCTGCTCTCAGCAGCCCAGTGCTGGGATGGCTGCCCCACTGGAAGCAGACAGCTCTGTCTCTCACCCTGCCTTGTCTCTCACCCTGCCTTGCTCAGCCATCTGCCTTTCTCCTTTCCTTTCAGCCCAGTGGCTCGGATGAGTTCACTGAACAGGCGAGGTGAGAATTAAATTACAGCTCTGGCTGCAGCCAGGCCCCTGCATCCAGCACAGCACACACAGATCAGGTGTCTGCAGGATTACTGAAGGGAGCAGGTCTGGTTTACATCCCAAATTATCCAAGCCCAGGATCCCTTGACAGGGTGCCAGAGTCCATGGGGTGACTTCCTGCCACAGGAGTTCCATCAGCCTTCACAATTTCCACAGTGACCAGTGTCTTCCAGGAAAATCTCCTCCTCTCTTTACCCCATGACTTGCTTATAGATGTATTCTTTACAATTTAACACATCTGACATTGTTTACCTGCTGCTCAATGAAGCAACCACCTTCTCAAGGCACTCTTCTCAAAGCATTCATGTTTCTAATACAGAAATAAAATGCTGAACATGTTTCTGCCAAAATGAGGATGACTTTTCCCCTATGAATTCAGGAGATTGCATGGGGAGAAGAACCATTGACTTCTATGGGATTTCTGTGACTCTAACTACAGAGTCAAGTTTAACCTACATGACACCTAAATGAAGACTCCTAAAACCTCTTAAATTACTCACATGCCAGTTCTGCCCAAACCCTGTGGAGAGGCAAGCAACCAAACATGTGAGCTCAGTAATCATCAGCAGTCAAAAGCAGAGAGGTCTAGAATTACTGTGAGGAGAATGTATCTTGAATTATTCATTCTGTTACGGTTCCCCATTTCAAAACAGAAACAGTAGAACGAGAAAAGGTAAAAAAAAATAGCAACAGTAATGAGAAGCCTGGAATGGCTCAGGTAAGAAAAATTCAGACTGAGGACCTTCAGCTTGGAAAACTGAGAAGAAATGTGAAGAATGTAAGTGAAACCACAGATGCCTTGGAAAAAGAGAACATTTAATAATTTTTGTCATACCAAGAACAAGCATCCAACAGCAGATACAGATATATCAGACAGCAGATACATTTATTACTACACAGAAATGCAAGGAGGTACTGTTTCATGCAATTCAGGATTAAATCACCCAACCAAAACACTGCAGAAGTAGAAGAATAACTAGATTCAGGAGGAATTAAATGCATAAATGGAAGCTCCTGAACTTCTGGATAAAGGACAGAGGAGATGTAACTGGGGCAGGATCATCCTCTACTTGCCTGTTTCTTGCACCTTTCCGTGTCAGAGACAGAGCATTCATTGTCTCAGTGAATCCCTGGTCAGGTTCATGGCTATTACTCAACACAGCAAAAGTGCCAGGTCCCATCAGCAGTGCCCAAGCCTTACCTTGATTGGCTGCATCCTGTCTTTCCTCACAGAACAGTCAAGATTATTTTTCATCTCCCGCTGATGATGATGCTATCAATATGAGAAAAAGAGAAATCCCATTACTGGGCAGTATGAGATGCCAGTGTGTGCAGGAACTCTTGCTTCTGTCCTGTGTGTCCCATGCCTTCTCCCTGGCCACTATCCTCATTGAGCCCTGTCATAAAACTACTGTGGACTGAATCTATTTGCATTTCACCTTCATATATTCATAATATATCATATATAGTCAAGGGAACAACTGAGCACTGGTAAAGCTGTAGGAACCAATTCCATTCCTGATGCCACACAGGAAAGTGCCCAAATTTTGTACTCAGACAATATATAAAAACATGTTCAAACTGGTTTGCTTTTATCAGGATTTTTTTTAAGCACACTAGCCCTGTGAATATCATCTCACAATCTGAGAGCTGTCAAAAAGCAGAAAGGGAGCCAGGACAGTGCCTGCTCTCACAACCACACGGTTTGACAATGACAGGCCCACGGAGGTTTTGTGTGGGGAATGTTCTGCACAAGGACTGTCCCTTTTCCCAGCGGGAAGGAGCATTCCAGGGAAGCATGGAGACAGCCCAGTGGAAGCTGGCAGCCCCTGGCTGAAGTCCCCGAGAGGGCTGGCATGTGCTCGGCAGGGCGCACCTCCATGTCGAGGACCTTACGGAATATGGCATCGGCCAAGCACTCCCGGACACGCCTGTGCTGCTCCCTCCTCGTGGCATTCAGACGGTATTCTCGCTCAGGTATTATTCTTCCACTCCTGGAGATCTGCCATACACAAACAGAACGTTACTGAAAAGGAGAAGGTGAAATAAAGAATGTTTGAAAGCAGCTCGCTTTCCCAGAAGATCACTTCCTCCCCCGGTTCGTTTCCACCTCTGCCCCGCCCTGGTGCTGGATCTCACCTTCCAGCACTGCGTTATCTTTGACCCCATGAGCTCCACTGGCCAAAGGGAAGGAGCAGCAGCCACATTTCTGATAGCCATGGGCTCAGCCTTACCCTTCACAGGCCACTGCCCAAAGGCATGGAAAGGATTAAACACTTGCCTCCCTACTGCACCCGTCTGTGCAAAAGAGAGTCACACCTGGGAGTGCACCAGTGTTTGTAACAAAATGTTCAGCATAATCACCTTTACCAAATCCTTCAGTTTTCCATTAAACACTTTTGAAAAATAACACTGAAGCTTAAACGAGTCAAAGATGCTTACATTTCCCAGTGTAAAAACCCTGAGTGAATCAATATGATGCTGTAAATCTGCAAACTGAAACACTTTGCAGAGGAAAACTCCAATAAGCAAAAGGAAATACAAAAAAAAGTATAAAAACATTCTGAAATGAATGTGGAATTGAGGGAAACTTTTCAGTCTCACCAGTCCTGATTTCTGAAGATGTCGTCTTATCCTGGCATTGCTGAAATATCCAACCAGGTGTTTGTCTGTAAGACTGTTATAGGTTTCAAGAAGTCTGCAATTTAAAAAATGGAGATGCTTATAATACCTTTGATTGACGAATTATTACAGTTTAAGTTAAACAGAGCTACCCAATAGTCCACTACACAAAATGCTGCTTTAGTAAATCTTCCTGGATTTGGTCAGATAAATGCAGATTAGATGATGTAAAAGCAATATCTTGTGGCCTCCTGGAAATCCCTATCAGAAACACGTGGATTGTATCTAAGGCCAAGAGCTGAGTGTGGAACTGTTCTGCCACTACCAATGGGACCAGCAGCCCTGGGAGGTCCACTGTCCCAGGGTGTCCCAGTGTCCAACCTGGCCTTGGGCACTGCCAGGGATCCAGGGGCAGCCACAGCTGCTCTGGGCACCCTGTGCCAGCCCCTCACTCCAATCATCACAGTTACCAAAGATCAGAGCTCCAAAAAACTGAACCTCAGGTGTGAAAGTTGAACACAAAAACTGAAGCATCCATAAAACTCTACTTTTCAACTACTCTTAGCACAACCATATCTTACTTCACCCCCTGGAAAACAGGACAAATAGAGAAGTCAGTGACACTAGGATGCAGTTTGTAATACTCTAAATCCTTTCACATTTGTACAGTTTTACATATTTCACAGTCTACACACTCGGGTACATGTTGCATACAACATCCAGCCTGACCTCTGGGCTCTCTGGGCAGGATGTGCCTCAGTTACACAAGACACTGATCTCTTTTGTTTTCCCTGGCTGTAGATTTAAATGCACTGTGCCTCTATTACACCCCTTTCAGCTGGATAATTCAGTTACATGTCTATTGCTAGGCTGATCTGCCTACACAAAAGCATAATCAAGGAAAGAAAAGACAAATTTTTTTAACGTAAAGAAATCATGGAATTTTATGTGGAGTTTCACAATAACCTCAAAGGTAGCTGCCAACAATAAATTAAACTTTAAACAATGTGGGTTACCCCTTTTATGCCTGTTAGTTAAATACTGGTATGATAGCAACTGTTCTATGTTACTTTTTTTTATTCCAGAGTTTGCATTTGAAACCACCAGATTGCACCAGCTTTGTTAAGTACTCGTTATGGTATCACCTGGCAACTGCATGTTGAGGCAGAGAAGAAACTCAATCCAACTCCTTTTCATTCACTTCCTTCTATCTAAGATATCCTGGACCATATAACTAGTTAAAATGCAGCTCCCACTTGAACACAGTGATGTGGCAATTTCTGTTTCACCAAAGTCTCAGAACATGTATTTTCTCATTTAAATTATGAATAGGCTGGCCCTCAAAAATGTTGAATTAAATTCAAAGGTCAGAAAGGATTTAGAGGAAATAAGGAAAAGCGTTGGGCCTGAACCAACACCCATTAAATGCAAGCAGGTCCATGGGGTCTGGCTGCCCCGAGCAGCCACACTCCAGCCCTGGGAGCCCCTGTGGCCATCAATGCTGGCACTGATCATTGATCATTGTGGCCATCAGTGCTGGCACTGATCATTGATCATTGTGGCCATCAATGCTGGCATGGACCAGGGCCTGGGGGCTGGCCAGGAACACTCCAGCAAAGCAACCACTGCTCCCCTTCAGCCTGCTCATGGTATCAACAAAGGGAGAAGAGAAGTTCTTGTCTGAGCTGCTTTGTCCAAGATTCCAGTATTTAAGAACCACACACAAATGTCACCTTTAAAACCTCTGCAACAGGCAGAAGTGCATAACTGACAAAATCCATGTTAGTAAAAACACAGCCAAGGGAAAGCACCAGTCTCAGACAGCTCTGTATAGCCCGTGTGTCACAGTAATCACATCCCTTTCCTGGGTATTCCTGGCACTCCTTCTTCTCTGCCCATTTATCCTGTTCATTCTTCTCTCTAAAAATGCTGGGGTTTTACTAGAATAGCAGGCAATTTTCCTGGCACAGAACCTAAACTGACTGATCTGTAGATTTCTGGAGTGCATCTGAAGCTCTTCTCAAGATGAGTGTCATGTTTGTTTCTCTGGCATTGCAGCCAGTGACAACATGTCACTCTTGGGTCATCTGCTCAAATTTTAAATTTGAGGTTATTTAGAATTCTATGATGCTATGACCATTGACACTATTATTTATTAACAGTACATTTGTTCTCAGCTGGCAGCTTACCCAAAGCATTACAGTCAGAGCCAGAGCTGTGTACCATGGTAAAATCTTAACACTCTCACTCATTTGGAAGGATATTAAGACAAAGCCACAGCGGCATCCAATGTTTTGCAAAGCAAATCTTAACAGTTAATATTTCACAGTGCAATTAAACCAGCGACCACCGAATGAATGATGTAAGAGAGCACCAAGGCTTCAGTTATAAATTGGCAGAGTCACAGGGGATTTTGGTGCCTGTGCTCTACCTGGCACCTGTCTGCCATTCCCCCCCAGAGGAAGTCTCAAGCCTACAACCAGGTACAGAACTAGGAGCTAAAGGATTGTTCTGCTACTCATTTCTTGTGTGGCCCCGGAGCAAGTTCTACCACCGTTTCCTTACTCAGATCATTGCCCACTATACCAGGATGTGCCGGATTTTGTCATGGACACCCGCAGAGGTTCTCTGTTCCTCCCTGTTTGTCTGTGACATCAGCTCGAGGAAGTGGGGATTCAAAGCTGCGGTCGGAGGGCAGGTATCCAGGGAATGGATCACGGGCGGGGAGCAGCCCCGGCCACAGGAACCGCTCCCGTTCCGAACCCGGCAGCTTCCCCGGGCTGTCTCCGGGCAGCTCGGGGCCCCCAGAGCCTCTCTCCCGGCCAGCCCCGACCCTGTGGCTATTCCCGCAGAGCTGGAATTGCCGACACGGAGCCCCACTCACCGCGGCTGCGGGGCGCTCATGGCAGCGGCGGCTCCGCGCTCCCGGCGCTGCTGCCGCGTCCCGGGAGTCGCCAGGAGACGGCGGAGGGAGGGAGGGAGGGAGAGAGGGAGGGAGGGACACACAAGGGAGAGAGGGAGGGACGGGAGGGGGCCGGTGCTCCGCCCGCCGCCCCAGAATCACAGAACCCCGGAATTGCTGGGGCTGGAAGGGAACTCTGGAGAGGCCAAGTCCAAGCCCTTGCCCAGGCAGGGTCACCTGGAACAGGTGACACAGGAACGCATCCAGGTGGGTTTGCAATGTCTCCAGAGAGGGAAACTCCACAACGTCCCCAGGCAGCTCTTTCCCAGCTCTGCCACCCTCCATGGGAAGCAGCTCTTCCTCACGTTGGGGTAGAACTTCTTGTGCTTTAGCTCGTGGCCCTGGCTCCTCATCCTGTCGCTGGGCACCACTGAACAGAGCCTGGCACCGTTCTCTGACGCTCCTCGGAAATATCTGTATGCATTGGTGCGATCCCCTCGCTGCTGTCGCTTTTGCACACTAATCCTGGGCAGCCTCTCGGCATTAGAGAGATGCTCCAGATGCAGCACACATCATCATCATCATCATCTTCATCTTCCCGACCCTCGGCTGGACCCACTGCAGCAGCTCCTCGTCTGTCTTGCACTGAGGAGCCCAGAACTGACCACAAGGCTCCAGCTGGGCGGGGCTGGCCTGGGGCTGCAGCAACCCCGGACTGGGAGGGGAGGGGAAGGAAAAGAAAGATGGAAAAATGAAAAAAAAAAAAAATGTGGGGGAGAGAGAGATCTGAGGACAAAAGAAAATAAAACGAAAGTTAAAAATAGAAATATAGAGAAGGCATTTTCATACAACACAGACCCAAGAACATAAAAATATATAATGAGGTGACAGGATGCACTTCCAGTATCAATCCTGATTTCCATCTCCCAGTCCAGATGACAGGAAGCACCAAAAGTGTGCATTGGCAACGGACACCTGATTTACTAAAATCAAGGAGATACAACCACCTTTCCATGCTCGTTTTTCCCTTCTTCCTGCAGTTCTTTTGAGTCCCAGTTGAAGTACAAACTCACAAGGTAATGCTTCCAGGGGCCAGAGTGACTGATCTGAGCAGAGATCCCTGCAGTGAGGAAGAGCAGGGACAACCTTCCCTCCTGATGCATCTGTTCCAAGTGTTAGACTTCACCATCCTCAAGTTTTATGTGGCATGATCCACCCACACTCAATATTGATCTGCCTTCTGTGAATGGAGCAATTACTAAGGACACCATTATTCTCTTGATATTTTATCTCCCCAACTTTGTAATTAAAGTCTCAAAGTAACTTATTGTATCATCCTGCAGCACAGGAGAAGTCAGGAACAGGCACAGGACAATTACAACAGAGAGGCAATTACACTTCTAATGACTAGAAAAGGTAGGCAGCATTTATTCGGGGCCTAATGAGAATAACAAAGAGCAGCTGCTTTTCAGAACAATCCACTTTTTTCTGTTTTAGAAACACAGAGAACAGCAGCTCCCAGAGCCTTGCATTGTACACAACTCACTGTGAACCCCAAACCTCTCCTGCAGATGCCAAAGTCAGCACAAATACAAGAGCCTGTTCAACCCTTCCAACCACCCGTGGCAGCACCAAGCAGGCTGCAACTGGGAACCACTGCCTCCAAAATCCCATCCAGCCAAATCAGGAGAAGATTCTCAACAAAATGAGAGAATTATTCTGCCAAATTCAATGGTCTGTGGCCCCATTCTCTTCCTCCATCCTTTTCTGCACTGCCAAGGGGCAACTCGTCCCAAAAAGAGAGCAGAACCAGGGACTCTCCAGGATGATACATTCTCCAGATGGATGGCTTGCACAAATCAGGCACAGCTCACTCCTACCTCACTAGTTCTACTCACACTACTTCTTCCAAAATTAAAAAAAACCCTTCCATTTGTAGAACACATTGGAAATGGATAGAAGAATAAACATTATATGATATTCCCAGCAAGTCAGTCCCAGTCCTGCTGTGCCTTTCTGCCATGTCAGCTAGCAGAGAGCAGCGACAATGTGGTAACACAGAACTGCTCTGACACCTTCTGGTGACACAGAATGGTGACAAACTCCATTACAGCCCTTGGGACAGCAGCGGTGAGGACAGACCAGAGACCTGCTCTGAATTTCTCCTCTAAGCATCATCCACGATGCAGTGGCAGCACTGAGCAAGAAAGGAGCACTGCAAACCATCAGCCTCTCATTCATGTCACAGACCCCTACTAAATTAGGACTGAACTAAAAATCATGTAATATTTGAACACAGAATATAGAAAAAAGATATATCATTTTATATGCACATCATCTCCACAATCACATCCGTTGTTAATCATTACCTTTAACCTCTGTTTAGTACTTTGATATTAAAAGATGTTTTACTTTCTCTAACAGCATTGTCAAGGAAATAGCAGGTTCCCAACATGGCACCACTGCTCAGGCCACGTTCTGCTTGAGACAACAGGAACACTCAGCACCTTTCACCTGGATCATCAGCTCAGACACTGCCTACACACATCACTTAGACCAGGTGAATCACTAAGATCTTCACATAAAAACCAGCTCCCTACTCCTGTGGCAAGTGCTACAAACCAGGAAACCAACTTCATTCCCCTGGGGCAGCCTGGAGGGAGGAAGGACCCCACTGCACCTTGGCAGACAGGGTCCCTGCCTTCCCACAGCTGAGCTGGCCTCATCCTTCTCTCCCCAGGCAGCTTTCTGAAACCACTCCCTGCAACACTACATTGAAATCATTAACTCTAGGAACATTCCATCTTCTTTCCTGGCAACATCATCTGTTGTGCAATGGATTTAAGGTTTTGAGAACAAGACAAAATGAAATGAGCCCAGGGTAATGGCAGTGACCCCACACAGACACCTGCACACGAGCCCCCTGTGCCCTGCCCTCCTCAGCAGGTGGAGCTCAGCAATTTCACAGCAACTCTCCATGCCACAGAATCCAGGCAGCCTCTGCTCTCCCTGCAGCCAGGGATCCAGGAGACTTTAATACAGGTCACAGGAAGAACTGAAATCTTCACAACCAGCCATTTACATCCAGCTGCTTTGGTGATGAGCATCAGTTCCAAAGGGGAAAATCCCAGCATGCAGCTCCAGAGTGACAGACCCTATGGATGAGCCAGGACACTGCCACCTCAGCTTAGAGGCACAGACGAGTAGAACTGCCTCTGCTCCAAGCAGTTCATGTTTGAGAGATTCTGCCCATATTTTGAGCTGGAAAGTAAACTATTTTGTCAGTAAAAGCTTTTATTTCAAGTAAATTATGTGACAAAATTTGAGTACAAATTTTGTGGCTAAAAGAATTTACAGTTCTAATTAACATGCCTAGTGAGTTATTTAGTTTTGTGTATCTGTAAAAAAAGCAACTTCATTCTGTGTTACCTACAGGCCTCACTGCCTTCACACGGACCATGATACCAAACCTGACCATCCCCTGCAGCACAAAGCACACCAGCAGAGAAAATTTATTATTTCCACATTAATCAAAAAAGCTACCAAAATTACTTTACAGTAAATGCAACTCTGCTCATTACAAAAAGAAAAATGTAACTAATTCATCTAAGTGAGCATTTTCTGTTACTGTCAAACATGATCCAAGGTATGTTTACAACATACAATCAGTGAACCACGTAAGGTGCAGTTAGAACAGCTACAAAATAAATGGAAAAAGGTGCTCCTTTATAGAAGGAGCACCATCTTCCCTCGGGCACCACTGCTATGAATAATGTCTTCATGAGCCTGGGCTACTTTCTCCAGGGGATATTCCAAGCCCACAACAGGTTTCAGCCAGCCAGCTTCTATGCCATCCAGGATTGCTGTGGCACATTCACGCCTTTCCTCCTGCATGTAACAAACACAGCGTTTATGACAAGGCCTTTGATTTTGGAATAGTATTGACAATTTGTACAAGAATTAAAGCAAATTCCAAACCTGAATATATTTTATGATGTTCGGAGATTGAATCAAAACATAAAGGAATGAACTAACAGGTTCGTTACAGTGAAATTATTCTTTCTTTCCTACAAATAATTTCAACTGTAAATAGAGGGGTGCTGGAACAAGCCAACAAAGCTTACTTTAAAATAGAAATGTTTCTTACCTCAGTTGCAAGAAACAGACCCACTCCAATGATGCTGGACTCCTTGCTCATTGTGTCTCTCGGGTTGATCTCGATGCGTCCTCTGCAGCCCACAACCTGCCCAAAGGAGCCCAAAGCATCGAGTCAGAGCTGTCCAGAGTGAGGCTGAATGCACAAAATCAGTGACACGAGCACCCATCACCACCTCCCTGCTCAAGGACACAAACACCCACTGTCACCCTGCTGGGTCAGGACACAAACACTCACCATCACCCTCCCTGCACAGGACAGCAGCTGCAAGTCAGCATCCAGGTTGACATTAGAGAGCATTTCTATGATGATATCGACTCCCCCCGGCCCTGTGCACGCCTGTACAGGACACAGGATGTCATTGCAGTGCTTGGGTACCACCCTTGATTTCAAACACTACAGAAAGTATCCATTCTACAGCTTATTGTTTAAATTTTCACTCCAGCCTTTGCACTGCAGCTGGCAGCTAAGAGCTGAACTGTAGCACGTTTTCTGTGCTAACTTATGATGTGATCCCACACCGGAATCTGCTGAATGTAAGGAGCTCTAAATGCCACTGCCTGTGAGGAAAGCTCAGCTCTTCCAGCCTGAGAAAGATTTTCCTTGTGAAGAAATGGACAGTACACTATTGCTCCTACATAAATCTACTCTAAAGTCTTCTGCAAGCAACTGCTCAGATTTTGTTAAGAACAACACAACCTGCACTCTCGAGCCCAGACACATGCCTACCTTAATTCTCTCAGTGTAATTCGGGTCTCTGTGATTAAAGGCTTGGTGAGCACCGTTTCTCAGGATCACATTCATGCCCTCCTCAGTTCCTGCTGTACCCAAAACCTTCAAACCACAAGCTCTGGCAATCTGACATGCTGCTAGTCCCACCTGAGGAGAGGAAAAAAAAACAAAAACAAGAGAGAAAATTATTTTACCCCTTTCTCAGAATGTTAAATTTTAAATAGTCTACCAGTGACTTGGAACTTCCCCACTTAAAAAGCTAGTCTGGTAATGTGTTTTTAGCCAATGATTTGGATCTTAAAGCCAAATACTCTTTAAAAAATATACTTACAGAGGCATGGTACATTTCTGAGGTTTTTTAATAGCTATCAACATTTGACATACATCAATGTAGAATGCTGAGTTATCTGTCAAAGCTGGACCATATATTTTTGATACAAATCTAAGGAAATTCTTCTCTTCACACAATCATCTGCTACTAATACCAGTATTATACATTGCAAAGAAAATCTGCAGGTACAAATTTTATTAACACTACTTCTTTACAAAGTAAATTCTCAGTGTCTCCTACCAGCTTTGCAGTCCAGTAAGAATAGAATCACTACATTTAGTTTATGAAAATTTTTAAAAATATTTATGATGCTAAGTGCTATTCCAGTATCTCATCATAAAATACGAATTCATCTCTTTGTTGTCTAACAAATAATTCAGGAAACTTGGCCTGTTCACAGCAGCTGTTTGGTACACCACCAGAAACTGAGCAAGTGCAGAGTGTGGGAGATCTAAAATAAGTTTGTCATGAAAATCAAAAGAAAACGAGAAGTGCAATTTCCTGAAGTATTCAGGTGCAGGTTTATGGATTCCAGTACCTTTCCTGGTGCAGCCAGCACTCGATACAAACATGACCATAACTCATATCCCAGCAAGAGCAGATACAAGGCCAGAGACCACTTTCCTCCTTGGAATACTTACCCCCCCACTAGCACCATGAACCAGCACGCTTTCCCCTGCTTTGGCACGGCCTCTAGGTGAAAACACAAGAAATATTGGCACTGTGATTGCAGCACATGCTGACTGAGCGTGGGGCTGCAGATACTGACATCAAATCTCATTGTTCACACAGCATTGTTTCCAATTTATGTTCCAATTATATTCCAATTTATGGCTAAACAGATATCATAAGCCCTTCTGGGAGAACAAGGAGGCAAAATAAATCCTGTGATTGATGACTTGAAGCAAAATTCAGCCAGCAGGCAGTGAGAGCCTGGCACTGAGCCTCAGCTGAGGACTTTGGCCTGGCACAGGAAAGCAGTGGTTCTGCTGCACAGCACCTGTCTGCTTACTGACAAAACTAGAACTACTGCCCTTTTTCTTCCTCAGACAAAATAGCAGTGAGCACTGAAAGGGAGTCACACATTTTATTCCATCAAGCTTTTCCAGGTAGGCTCTCTCAAGAAACAAGACTCAACAGGAAAACGCAGTCACAAGTTTCTAGGTCACAATTATCTGACAATTCCATCAGTGTAATGTTTCTAAACATTTCCCACTCATCAACCTCCCCATTTTACAGGACAGTGAAAACATGAACTTTGGTATTGTAAATACCAAAGGTTAAAGGGCACAAGCATGGATTTGGTGCCTTACTTCTGGAACAGGGCCCGGTAGGCAGTGAAGTAGGGCACTCCAATCGCTGCCCCCTGCCTGAAGTCCAGTTTGTCTGGCAAAGGAAACACTCTATTGGCTGCAGCAACTGCATACTCTGCATATCCTCCAGAAAGCGTTTCAAGGGTGAAAACTCTGTCACCTTTCTAGAATGGAGGGAGAGAACACAGAGAAACCAATTATTTCCCTTACTTCTTCCTTAATAAACATTAAGAAGAAATTTACAGAGGTTTAGGCTATTTTGACAGCTCTCTTGTCAGAAATAACCAGTTACATTTGTCAAAGAAATTTTTATAAATGCTGATACATACCACGAATGCAACACAAACCGTATATTTTCTTCTACTTACATCTAAGTATCATAATTATAACCCCACCCTGCAGTGTAACACACAAACCTACTGCCTCATTAATATGAACCTTAACGAACTTGGACTGAAGTCAGGAATTCCATCCACAGATTCCAAATGCAAAAACTCAAAAGCTTTTACAAACACAAAAGAAACACTTCTAAATTATTTACATGTGGGAAAATGTAGCCTGTTAATACACCCTAAGACATCTCTCTCTTCTTCAAGCCAAGAGCATCACAATTGTCAGACAATGCAAGAAGATAGCAGACTGCTGATAAAAAGATATGAACAAAGATAATTCTTCTCTTTTGATAACCCAGTCTCTCAGGTATCCCAAAATTGTGACATAAATTCCAAATCAGGAAATTCCAGCCCAATTTTTCCTACAATTTTTATGTTTGTTTGGGACCACAATGACTTAAATGGGAGAACCAATTTAAAAACTGAATTGATGTCATAGATGCCTTTTAGCAAATTGATATTTGCCTTCTCCTGTCCTGAGACTTCCCCACTGAGAAATCCAAGTAAAATTACTAGACAGGAGCAATACAGTATTTGAACAGTTTTACCAACAAATAACAGAATTTATGGAGCTTTATAAGTAAGCAATTTCCATTTCTCAAATACTTTACAGAAAATTTTTCAGTTCTGCCTGAAATTACTACCCCCAGGAAGAAGCATTCAATCTCAACTTTTTCTGCAATGCCAGTGGCTCTTCTGAGACTCCTGAGCTACAGGAGGGCACAGCATTCCTCACAGTCCCACCAGCAGACTGGTTTGCCAATGGGATCCCATTGTGTGCCTTTACCAGCCCGTGCAGGGGATTCCTCCCTCGAGGAGATTACATGATTATAAGCAACAAAAACAGGTACAGTAGCACAGCAACCGGCCAAAAAGGGCCATTAAACAGTAGTGAATTACACCCCGGTGTGTAAATACCTTAAATGCAGTCACGTGCTCCCCAACACTCTCAATCACCCCAGCCACATCCGAGCCAGGAGTGTAGGGTAGAGCTGGTTTCCTGGCATAAGTCCCAGATCGAATATAGGTCTCAACAGGATTTACCCCACAGGCATGCACTTTAATTAATACCTAAAAGAGAAGACACTTCTTAAGCAGTAACTAAAAAGATTTACCCCTTGAATTCACAGCACGGTGTTGTAGCATTTTTACTGAATTCTCAATCAGCCTCTGTGACAAGCCAGTGTCAAACTGAAGCTAATTTCAGGCAAATCTTGATGTGGAATATAGAGCCCACCGCAGAGCAGCCCACATTAGTTAAGCATGGTATCTCAGGTAGTATGAGCATACTGATCAAAACTCACGTACTCTAGGTGTAAGGTTCTGGGCTGTACCACTCATTCTGTCCTGCAGGCACCTGTTCGCATTCATGATCACTAATTCCCTTCACAGAGCTCACATATACCTGGTTTTCTTTTGGAACAGGAACTAACACATCTGACTGGAGTTTAAGCACCTCAGGGCCACCGAATTCAAGCACTCGGACCGCTCTCATCACACTCCTGGTGGCTGCCATGGCGACCACAGGATCTGCTAAAAGAAATAAGGAGATCCCTGCTACGTGTTCAGGTCCCGGGGAGCCTGAGCCACCAGCAGATGCCCTGCGGACACCGCCTGGAGCACGGCACACAGCGCGGGGTCAAAGTGCGGGTGGATCGTGTGACACTGTTCGGGGCCGTGCCCGGCACCGTGCGGCCCCAGCACGCCGGGCCTGGCTGAATGCGCTCCGTTACACGCTCTCACCCCTCCCACAACACACCTGCGCCTCCAGGCCCCGCCCAAAAGACACCTGCGCCCCCAGGCCCCGCCCACAAACACACCTGCGCCCCCAGGCCCCGCCCACAAACACACCTGCGCCGCCTGGTCCCGCCCACAAAACCACCCGCACCTCCAGGCCCCGCCCCCTGATCCGCCCCCTGTCCGGCCGTGACCCGGAAACGCTCCTTCGACCAGGCCCCGCCCCTTCGGGCCGCCCCTGTCACCGTCACCGCCTGAGGCCCGGCCGCGTCCGCAGTGGCTATGGAGCCCGGCACGGGTAGCGCAGAGCCGCCGCCTTCCCGTCCCGCCCCACCGGAGGAGCGCCGGGGAGCCCCGCGCCCACCGCCTACCTGCGGCCTACCTGCCCCCGCGGCGGAGCGCACAGGAGGGCGGGCTGAGACCCGGGCGGGGAGGAGCCGGACGGGGCCGTTCAGCCCCGAGCCCCGCCCCGTCCCGCGGCCGCGCGCGGAGGTTGGTCCCTCGTGGGCCGCCGTCCACCCGCCATGGCGGCGTTCGCGCGGCGCAAGGCGCAGCGGCTCGCGCGGCCCGACCCCAGCCGGAAGCGCGCGCTGGACGCGCGAGCCGCGGAGCTCGCGCGGATCCTGAACGCGCGCGAGCGCTTCTGCACCGCGAGCTCGTGCGATGGGAGAGTCACCGTGACGGTGGGTCCGGGATGGCAGGGTCACCTGGGACCGGGATGGCAGGGTCACCTGGGACCGGGAGGGTCACCTGGGACCGGGAGGGTCACCTGGGTCCGGGATGGCAGGGTCACCTGGGTCCGGGATGGCAGGGTCACCTGGGACCGGGATGGTCACCTGGGTCCGGGATGGCAGGGTCACCTGGGACCGGGATGGCAGGGTCACCTGGGACCGGGAGGGTCACCGTGACGGTGGGTCCGGGATGGCAGGGTCACCTGGGACCGGGATGGCAGGGTCACCTGGGACCGGGATGGCAGGGTCACCTGGGACCGGGAGGGTCACCTGGGACCGGGATGGGAGGGTCACCGTGACGGTGGGTCCGGGGTGGCAGGGTCACCCGGGGGATGGATGCCGGGATGCGGGTCCCGCCCGTCCCGCGGATGTTGCCGGCACGGGCTGGGGTCCGGAGCTCCCGCCGTTCCCGGTGCTTCCTTGCCCGGCCGGCTGCTGGGGCCCCAGCCCAGCTGAGCCCAGCTCAGTCGCGGTGTGAACGGGCTCATCCTCCAAGGGGACGCCCTTTATTTCCGGGGAGCGTCTTTGCAGCAGCCGCGGATTCCGCTCAGCCAGCGGCGGTGCTGAGGTGGTTTGTGTCCATCGCTAGGACACGGACGGCACGGGCGTCCAGAAGAAGAACTGCACGTGGCTCCTGGTCACGCATGAGCCGTGTGCCAAAGGCGATGTGGTAAGGGCACCGTGTGCCACAGCCTTTGTATTTATTCGTGGAAATGCTTCTGGTGCCATGGAAAATACATTGTGTCAAAGGGCTTTTATTTCTGCTACTGAGATGAATTGATATTCTGCTCTCAAAATTGACTTTTCCTTAGATGTGTTGCTTAATAAATTCTTCAGACCCATTTTAAGAGAATGCTTTTAAACTCAATATCAAATTCTCTGCATAGTTATAAATGCAGCTGATATTCTAGAAACTTACATAATTTCTTACTGTCTGGAATCATATTTAAAATTATTGAGTTAAAAAAACTCTTGAGCCCAGCTTGCTGTGCTAGCAGACAGACATCTGAAAGTGGTGTAACAGGGACTGTCTTATACTGTATTGTTAATTTAGTATAATTAAATCCTTTGAAATTAAAAGCATCTATAGTGCAGGGTTTTTAATTTTTGGTATGCTTTCAAATTAATTTACTCTTTGCACACGTTGCTTTGTCCCACAAAAGAAGCAGTCGCAAGGTCAACATTTTCTCACTCAATTCATAGTTCACTTTACCCTACATATACATTCTCACACATGCACAAAAGTCTCCTCCTGAATATTTGTTTTCACTAGTATTTGTTCCAGCAAAGCAAAGCTTGCTGAAATTTCTATGAGAAAATTTCAGGTCAAGGGGGATGCAGTAGAGTGTTGCTAACTCTTACAAGAGGAAATGCTCTGATTTTTATTTAAATATTTTGGTGTATTTTCCAGATGACAGCGCTGGAGAAAGCCACAGGTGATGCTGTGTTCAAGTTTGAACCATTTGTTCTTCACGTGCTGTGTCGGGAGCTGCAGGATGCACAGCTGCTGGTAAAACCAAGTACAATGTGGCATTGTTCTGTTACATTCCTGCCCGTAAAAATAAAAGTACTGGCTCCTGGGTAAGCAGTAGTGCTTAGAGACAATCCCAGGTATGCTGTGTGTTTAATAATTAGGGTTGTAAAGTAAACAGATGAAAAAACACAGCTTTGAACTTGGTGAGGGTTTTACTGTACTTAGAAAAATGACTCAGCTGCAGAGTCAGAGCTGAAGCAGACTGCACATGAAACACCTGGGGGGCCTGGGCTGCTCTCATGTCTGAAAGGGATGGATTTTAGAGGGTGCTTGGCTAGCAGCCAGGCCATTGGGCTCCCTTTTCAGTGCACTGACTGATGGCTTTGCCTTCTGCCTTTCCAGCGTGGCTGTGGGGAGCAGTGTGTGCTGGGCTGGCCTCGTCCTTAGTGCAGGAGAGCTGAGGAGCTCGTGGTGCAGCTGCTTGGGATAAAATAGTTCAGTGCCTGGAGAGACCTTTCATCCCTTCTGCACTGGTGCATTCAGGCAATCAGGATCCACTGTGGGCCTCTGAAAACCACCCGCCCTTTGTGGCTTTGAGCACAAAAAGTATTTTAATGTAACTATTTCTAGATAAGTCTGGGTAGATAATTTGAATAAGTTTTTTACAAAACCGAGATTGTGTGTTGTGTTGCAACCCATCCATAAATATTTTTTTCTCTGAAACTGTACAAGGCATGTTTAAGCATTTATTTTTTCTGCAGCATTCAGTGGCTATTGACTCTGGGTTCAGGAACTCTGGTATTACAGTTGGCAGAGGAGGAAAAATTACAATGGTAAGGACTCTGCTTCTGTAAGGGATGAAGTCATATTGTTACATTAACCTTGATTTTTGTGCAAGCCAAGACCTTACTGGTGCTTGAGAGCTGTCACAGGGCATGCTATGGCAAAGAAATAGCTCGCTGCCTTGGGTGACAGCAACCTTAATAATTGTGTAGATAAGCAGGTTTTTTACTGTAATGAACTCCCTACATTATTTAAATAACCTTCATAAACTAAAACACTTTATTGCAGGTAAATCATGTGTGTGTTTTCAGGCTGTGCGGAGCACTCACTGCTTAGAAGTTCCACTGAGCCACAAAGGGAGGTTGATGGTCTCTGAAGAATATATTGAATTTCTGGTACATGTGGCTAATCAGAAAATGGAAGAAAACATAAGGAGGATTGACAGGTTTGTAAGAATACACCAGTTCTGTTCATGACATCTAATTTTTCTTCAGTATTAAGTAAGACATTAGTAGCCACTTTTTTCCCCTTGCATGTTTTGATTACATTCTGAAAGCATTCGTTTCTCAGAGTAATTTGCAGATCCTGAGCAAATCTATAAAAACAATAACTACAGAATTGTTTCTGCCTAGATTCCAGAAAGGCCTGGAGCTGGCTCTGGAAGCTGCTGTCCCTGCAGACACCTTGTTTCCCGAGGGGCCAGAGAAGAGCCACTCTGTGTACGTGCACAGAAGGAAGAGACAAACTGCTCAGGAACAGACTGATCCCAGCAGAGAGCTGGAACCCCAGGATGATACTGAAAGCAGTCTTGGTCTGTTTGCTGAAATCATGATATAGACTAAGACATTTGAAAGCAAATGGTGAACTGAAAAATGTTTGTAATGCTTTTTTAAAGACATTTATATACTCCTGTGCTCCAAGTAGTAATACTCTCATGGACGTTGACCAGAAAAGAGGTAATTAACAGAACAGTGAGCAGGTGTAGCTGCAGGACACAGAGAACAAAGCTGTAGAATGTTTGGGGAGTTTTTAAGTGTACTGTTGAATTAACAAAGTGGTACTCCATCAGTTATCCCAGAAAGAGCTGGTTTGCTGCAGCCTTTTGCCGTTCTCTGTGGCAGCATTTCACTTCCAGCTTCCTGGGTTTTGCAGAGCCACAGCTGGCTCTGCAGGTTCCTCCCTCAGGGAGGTGGAGAGGTGCTGGGGACAAGCACTGAAGACTGAAGACCATCCACTCGTGAGACAGCCAATACATGAGGTGGAAATTGCACAGAAACTTTCCAAAGTAACGCTGTGTGCATTTGGGCAGACTGGTTAAAGTAGGACTCGACCCAGGGACATAATTTCTCACAGTGCTGGCCAGGAGCTGTGTGAACAAAACTGAGTCCCAGAGCCCATGGGCAGCAGGCAGCTGGTGGGAGCAGCCAAGGTCCCACAGCAGGGCAGGGCACAGTGGCTCCTCAGCTGTGGGGACATGGCCTGTGTCACACCTTTGCAGTCACCGTTTTCACAGACCTTCCTCTCCAGTCTGAGCCTCTGAGCCTGTCTGGGCTGAACTGAAGCCCCAGGGCTTCTGTAGATGAAAAGCAACGTCTGCCTCCATGCAGAGGGTCCTCCCCAGCCTGCTGCCTTAGCTAAGCCCCAGGGAGTGCCTGTTGCCATCGCCACTGCTGGCAGTCCCACTGTTCCTGCACGTCCCTCTTCGCCACCTGGGGGGCACATCTTGTACACAGAGGAGGTAGCTGTTGCTTGTGGATTTCAGGGAATTTGTTCAGAATAGTCTGAACCCTCCTCTGCATGTGACATTTATTGAAATGTCTGGTGCTGCTCTGTTGGACGTGGCTGGAGGGACTGACACCAGCAGCACCCACCACAGACACTAACAGCCAGACTCACCCTGTGTAACAACACTGCACTATTTACACTCTGAGAAATAACAGTTTGTCAGAAACTGATGTGTGGTATGGTCCCACATTCCCCTGAAAAATGATTAAAAGTTCCATCAGCTCATTTTGAGGTTAATTTTGTCAAGCTGTGTTTTATTTCCAACTGCTGTATGGGATTCTGATGGGCTGTAAATGTGCAGCCATTGGAAAGAGAATCCCAAGGCATAGCAGCTGCAGGCAGCACCCCTGGAAATGGGATTCTAGGGGTTATGGCTGAAAGGAAATTCACTGATAAGCAACAAGATTCCGAAAACTGTCAAATCTTTAGCATTTGTCAGTGTGCTTAGCCACTTAATTAATCTAAAAGGTATTTTTGTGCTTGTTCTCACGGTGTTAATTTTTTTTAAATTACAATTTTACTCCCTGTGCACTCAGTTGTTTCAGGGGAGGCTGATGGGTTCATTCACTCCCGGGGCTGAGTGTCATTTCTCACCCCACAGCATTTCACGTGCACCCCAGGAAATGGCTCCCATCAGCACTGCAGCTTTCCCAGCTGGTTGTGCCACAGGTTCTGAGCCAGTTGTGCTCCCCAGCTCGTCCCTGCACTTGGGCACAAAGTCACTTGGCCGATTCGCTGGGATCGTTCTGTACATGCAAATCACAGATGGCAGGAGCACAAGAGTTGGCTTGAAACAGCTTCCTCTGAAATTCAGGTACTTACAATGGTTACAAGAGCGTGGCAGTAACACTGCAGAGTGCAGTGAAATCTGTGTTTTCACAGGGGGTTAAACCTCTCTGGACCAGGGCAGCTTTGCAGCTCTCAGCTTCCACTCCTGCCAAGGCTTCACTTGAATTTAACCAAGTCTCAATTTAACTTTAATTTAACCAGTCTCAAGTTTTTTTAATTTATCATATAAAATCTATCATGCACTGGAGGCTTAGCAGCTCTTCAGTACTTTTGGTTACTGAAAATACTCAATTACTTTACAATATCTTGTCAATTTGTTTTTACGTAGTGGGTTATTATGAGAAATGTTTCAGTTCTGATCTACCCATAGTTGAAACTACCCCAGGGGAACATGCTGAGTGTTTTGTGAGAGAACCTTTGAAAATTAATTTATAATAAATTAATAATAAATTTATTAATTTATATATTTTATCCTGAGCTGCTCACTTAATTTCTTCACACCAGAAGAAAGTAAAGCTGGTAAGAATTGCTGTCAAACGTGTCCTGCTGCCAGTGGTATGACAGCAGACAGCTACTTGGGATTGAGGTCAGAGAATCCTCAGGTCTTTTTTTTTTAATCAGAGAATGACACCCAAATTCCATACAGAGATTACATTAAAGATCTTATTCTGCTTTGTGGATGCAGTTTATATATGGTACCTGATAATGCCATTTTGGTCAATTTTATACTGGACGGGAAAAGCTTGATTTCATTTTCTGCAGGATCCTGAAAAAAGAGAAATATTTTTTCTCAAAATCAGATCTTATAGTTGTAATTGCTATTTTTGCTGAGTAATTCTGACAGCTCAGAGCCCGGTTGTTGGACCAGCTGGCAGAGGACACCCACCCTGTCCCATCCGGACCCTCCCGGCTCTGTCCCATCCCGACCCTCCCGGCTCTGTCCGCCCCGCCGTGCTCTGCCGCGGTGCTGCTCGGGCAGAAGCCGATGCTCGGCGCATCCCCTCGGTGCAGGTGGGACCCTCCCGGGGGTTCGGGGATTCGGGGGTTCGGGCAGAGGTGGAAGTGCCGGCCCGACCCGCGCTAACGGCGGCTCAGGTCTGTACAGGCACCGCGGATCGCTCCGTGTGTAACGCAACGGGATTTTTCGTTTCTCTAAATGAGGACCAAGTAAATTCTGTTTTATCGTATTTTATCACTGCACAGCCAGCGTAGCTCTCCGCGCCTGCCCTGGTCCGCCGGTCCCTCCTTGGCTTCGTTCCCCGGTGGGTGCCTGGCGGCTGCACCGAGCGGGACCGGGACCCTCATGGGCACCGAGCGGAACCGGGACCCGCATGGGCACCGAGGGGAACCGGGACCCGCATGGGCACCGAGGGGAACCGGGACCCTCATGGGCACCGAGGGGAACCGGGACCCTCATGGGTACCGAGCAGAACCGAGACCCGCGTGGGCACCGAGCGGAACCGGGACCCTCATGGGCACCGAGGGGAACCGGGACCCGCGTGGGCACCGAGGGGAACCGGGACCCGCATGGGCACCGAGGGGAACCGGGACCCGCATGGGCACCGAGGGGAACCGGGACCCGCGTGGGCACCGAGCGGAACCGGGACCCGGCGCGGGCACCCAGCGGCGGAACCGAGCGAGGCTGAGCGGCCGCAGCCGCCGCTGCCGGTGCCCGTGAGCCCGCCCGGCGCCCGTGCCGAGAGGAACCAGCAGCCTCGCCCCGCTCACGCTCCGGCTGGTAGCAGGAGCCTTTTAAACTCCCGAAATACCGAACGGCTGGCAAGGAAAAACCTGCTTTCCTCGGGATGATCAGCAATTCTCCGCTAATGGAGATATAAATGTTCCCATCGCTTCCCAACTGCTCGTCCCCGATAGATTCGGCATGTTACACGGGCAGCACTGCTCTTTTATAATTTGCTCATTTAAATACTTTTGCATAACATCGCTAGCAAAAATCAAGGAATATTTACAAGGGAATTGCACTAGGAGTTTGTGCATATAATTCACTTTTTTCTGTTATTTTGCATCCCTTGGTGCTTTATTTCAGAGCTTTCTTCAACTGCACTTAGCCTGAGCCTTGTTTTGTTTTCTCTCACTTGAAACACCTTGAAAATACTGCAGAGAGTGAAGGTAAAATTAAATCTACCAGAATTTTACTTAGAACTCTGTGCAGGGTCTACTTGTTTTTCCTGTAACATATTCACCTCATAGTGACATACAGGAACACACCAGTTTTGGAAAGCACGCAGGAATGCTGTAGGTAGTTCTATATGGGATCAGAATTTGGCCCAAAATATTCAATATTAAAAATGACCATTTTCCCTTCATTTCTATTACCTAGATATGAAAGTTCAAATTCAAGAATGTGTTTTCACATCCACAGCACTCTGGGGTAGTATTAAATGAACTCTGTTTAATAAAACACATTCCAAGTTGCTATTTTGATTGAAGCATTATACTTCTTGTCTTGCTATAACTAGTTCAGATTTCACTGGGTCATTGAAATTTTTTGAATCTGTCTCTTTTCACATCATATTTATAATGCAGACATAAATAACTGTGACACAGATCCCTTCACAGCACAAGCCAGGAGTGGGGATTCAGTGCTGCACAGCCAGTGCTGCAGTTACCTCCCAAGATAGGAAGGAAATTTTGTCGTTCTCCAAACACACTGATCGTGCCTTTCATAAACATCTCACATTCATCCAGGGAGACAATGGCATCCCATTTTGTCCTTGAGTCATTGAAATAAGAGGTATTTTGATCACAAATGTCTGCTATTATCAAAACACCATCATGATTTCCACAGGATTAGAATAGATAACCCAGGTGAAGCTGTGCACAGGTCTCCCCTGGAACAGGTCCCCCCTGGTTCTTTTTTTCTGTGTCGAGTTTTATCTGTTTTTAAACACTGTGTCACTGAGAACAGCAGCACCAGGCGAAGTCCCTAATTCTGTCCAGGGCAGCTGTGGCCCTCACAGGTGATGGCCAGAAGGAACACTGTCCAAGTCCTCTGTTTTGATGTTTTCTCCCTAGAAAACCCTAGAATCACAGAATTGCTTTGGTTGAAATAACCTCTAAGATCAACTCTGATGTGCATGCGAAAACCACAACAGACTTGCAGAAGATGTTGGAAAATATATTTATCTAAATACCCAGATATTTACAGACACGGTTCTGCCTGCTTGAACCAGGAACCAAATGCAATAAATGCAGCTCAGGAACCAGGGTTCCAGGCCTGGAACTTCCCATCAGGATAATCCATGGGTGAGATGGTCAATGTGTCTCTGCCTACCCCAGCCAGCCCAGGCAGGACTGGGCCAGCAGAGCAGAACCCAGCTGGGTGGCCCCTGGCCAGGGGAGGCCAAGGGCCAGCGTGGCTCCGTGGAGGTGGCAGCAGGCTCCTGCTGCACCAGCACCCCAGCATCACCCAGCCACCTGCAGGGCTGGTCCTCGTCCTTTCCTTCGGGCAGCTGCCAAGGCAGAAGGTTTCCCAGTGCAGGGAACCCAGGCAGGAGCCCCTGGGCTGGGAGCAGTGCTCGGGGCACCACTGGGCCCTGCATGGATCTCTGGGCACCAAAAGCAGCAAAGGGAAAACCTTTCACCTCTCTGTGCTTCATGTAAACTTTTACATGTCAGAGTCCCACAGTCAGAGGATCCCTCCAGACTTTTCTTTCTTACATATTTCCACCGTCCATCCCTTCCCTTCCAGTATGAGATCAAGGAGAAAAGGGGTGGTGGAAGTAGGAGAGCAGTAGCAGGAAAAAAATCTGACAAACAGCAACAGCTCCCCAACACCCCTTTAAAGTAATGATGATTTACCAAATGGTTGGGAAGTTGTTATAATTCCTTTTCCAAATTATTACTCGCCCTTTAGATTAGAAATGAGGCCAGGGTTAGCAATCAGCCATAAATGGTAGGATTTCTGAAGTAGAAGCACTTGTCTGATTGTGAAGTGGAGGCCATTATTGCCTTGATTGAGTCTTTTTTTTTCCGGGTTGTTTTTTTTATTTTTTTTAAGCTTGCTTGATTTGTGGCTGAGAGCACACATTCACCACAGTACTGGGAGCAATCAGAGTCTTCCATGCTCTTTTTTGCTCAGCGATTTAGGGTCCACTACTTTGGCACAGCTGCCACCTTTTAGCCTCCATCAAGCAGAGATATTTTTAAGTGAACTGCATTTTGTGTTTGTCTTTTATCCTCCCATTGCCTTCCTCATGCTTTTTCTGCTTTTTCTCTTTTTTCTTTTTTTTTTTTTTTTTTTTTTTTTTTTTTGTTTTTTTGTTATATTAATTTAACTAGGGGTGTTATGTTTGCGATCTCTGCCTTGGTACCTAAGGAGGAAGAGGAGGAGGAGGAGGGTGTGTTACTGAATGGTGGCTAAA